CGTTTAAGGGCTGAGAGGGCTCAGTGGGTAAAGGTACTTACCTGACAGCCTGAGCCTAATCCCTGAGACTCACATGGTGGCTAGAGAGAGTACAGAACTGACAGCTGTGCTCTCTCTCACACACACACACACACAGTAAAATATAAACAAAATGAGCATTCAGGATTATTAAGACTAAGACCACCAACTTATGGGGGTGATGGCTTGAATGGAAACAACCACATTCCGTCTGTGATTCTCACCTAACTTAGAATAAATAAATCTACTTCTTTGTCTTGCTGCAGACACAGATACTGGTTTTTATTAAATGTCACTAAAATTAAATTTTGAACGATGCTCAAACAAAACACAGCTGGGATGCTAATAATCACCAGAAGAGCTGACGGCACCCGTCTTCTGCTGAGATACAGGGCAACAGGTGGTTCGTGTCACAGTTTTCTTGCCCCCTTAAAGTCTTGAAGCACATTGCCCTGACAAAGAATAAAAGGAATTTCGTCCCTCTCCTGGCTGCTGATCAAGGACGCGTGCAGCCAGTAGTGGGTGGTGTCATGGGATTCCTACACACCCACGCAGGGACAGTGTAGCTGCAGGTGCTTGTCGTTCTTTTAAAACATACATTCATTGTGTACGTTTGGTTTTTGTTCTCTGCTTTGTGACAGGGTCTCACTATGTCACTCTGGGTGACCTGGAACTTGCTATGTAGACTAGGCTAGCATTGAACTCAGAGATCTGCCTGCCTCTGCCTCCCCCTTCTGCCTGGGATCAAAGGTGTGCACCATCATTCTAGGCATGTGTGTGTATGTGTGTGTGTGTATATACATATATCTATGTATATGTATATATACATATATATATGCCACAAATGACAAGGTTAGTAAGTCGGGTGAGCACAGATCCCAGTAAGGACTGAGCCCTGGCAGCTGGTGATTCTCCAAGCCCAGCAGACAGTAGGGACAGTGGCCACTGTTGGGCTAATGCAGCCGAGAGAAAGGTGGCCTGTGAGGATCAGTCTCCAGCGGCACAGGCTGAGTCACGGCTGGTGGGGCAGGGGTCCTGATCGCCTCCACCCTTCACACCTGCAACTCAGTTTCTGCCAGTGTCTCAGCCAGCCCCTGACTCTAGCACATGCAGCCCTGGGAGAAAGGCAGAAGAAGCCTGGCCTCTTTACGGCCCCCTCTCTCTGCTCATCTTCCCAGAGCAGGCCCAGGAAATAGGAACCAAGTAAGAGGAGATTGTGGAATCGCTAACTCCTCCTATAAACTGCAAACTCCTCCCACACATTTCACAACACCATGGCATGTAGGTCCCTCAGTGGCGCCTGCCAGGCCCAAACATCTTATTAATTTAACAATAATGACTGTGCTGGCTAGTTTCGAGGTAGCTTAACACAAGCCAGAGTCATCAGGGAAGGAGGAGGCTCAGCTGAGAAAATACTTCCGTAGGATTGGGCTCTAGCTGAGCCTGTAGGGCATTTTTTAAAAAATCAGTGATTGATGAGGGAGGGCCCAGCCCATTGTGGGTGGTGGTGTCATCCCTGGGCTGGTGGTCCTGGATTCTAAAACAAAGCAGGCTGAGCAAGACATGAGGAGCAAGCCAGTTGTCTTGTTTTGGAATGGGATTCACTGTGGACATAACAGTCTATTCACTCATCTGTCCAAAGACATTTGGGCTATTTCCAATTTGGGTGATAAAGTTGCTACAAACATTTCCTCCTCCTCCTCATCCTCCTTGTCCTCCTCCTCTTCTTTCTTTTGTTTTTGTTTTTTTGAGACAGGGTTTCTCTGTGTAGCCTTGGCTATTCTGTACTTGCTTTATAGACCAGGCTGGCCTCAGACTCAGAGATCCACCTGCCTCTGCCTCCCAGAGTGCTGGGATTACAGGCGTCCACCACAACACTTAGCTGGAGTCGTGTTTTAATTTTTTCTTGGCTTCCACATTCTCAGCATGGCTAGGCAGCTCAGGCTTGGCATTTCCCTATGGCTCTGTCTTCAGGATGAGAGTGGATCCTGGGCTCATGTTCTTGGGGCAAGAAAAGCCTGGGAATAGCACTATCCTCAGAGCCTCACATCTGGGGTTCTGCCAGGTTTTCCATTGTATTATTCCTTTTCCCTCTGCGAGTCGGTAGAAATTTCTGGAAGATGTTCCCAGTTGCACGGATACCTGGAAGTGACCTGGACAAGGCCAGTCACTTCCCCTTAAGCCATCACCTGGGAACCAAGTATTCAAGTACTTGAGCCTGTGGGGAACATTTTTTAAAATGATTTATTTATTTTTTATTTTATGTGCACTGGTGTTTTGCCTGTATATATGTCTGTGTGAAGGTGTTGGAGCCCCTGGAACTGGAGTTACAGACAATTGTGAGCTGCCATGTGGGTGCTGGGAATTGAACCCAGGGCCTCTAGGACAGCAGCCAGTGCTCTGAACCATCTCTCCAGCCCTGTGGAAACATTCTTAAACTGCTGCAGCTACATTTCTGATTTGAAGCTGGCCTTGGCTATGTGAAAAGCTGTCTCAAAAACACCAAACAAATAATAAATTTGTGAATTATGGTTCTGCTTATTTCTTCTTTCTGAAAGCAGATCCTTTCATTTAAAGTCAAGTTTACAAACATGTATCCTATTTGTAATTTAGAATGCAATGTTAAGCACACTACAATTCTGGGATGGAGAGATGAGTCATGATCTAAGAGCACTGGCTGCCCTTCCAGAGGACCAGGGTTCAATTCCCAGCACCCACATGGCAGCTCACGACAGTCTGTAACTCCAGTTCCAGGGGATCTGACACCCTGCAGAGACATATATGCAGGCAAAACACCAATGCACATAAAACAAAAAATAAAAATAAAAAAACAAAGGAAACCACAATTCACTTGTTGATGTATTATTGTCCCTAATTGTGGGTTTTAGTGGTACAGTTGTGCTAAAAAAACAAAACAAAAAGCATTTGCAAAGTAGAGTATCCATAATTTCAGTTTCATATTCTGTATTTAAAATTTTCATATCCAATGCCGCAGATCTTAAACTTTGTTAGAACAAATTTTGTTTAAAAACAAAAACTTGCTCCGAGTTTTGGGGCCTTGTATACTTTTGAAACCAAATGGAGAAAACAAAGCCAAAAACGCAAACACTAAATCAAATAAAGCAGGGGCTGAGGAGATGCCTCAAAGGTTAGGAGCTGTTGCAGATGACAGCACCCATGTCAGTCAGGCAGCTCGAAACCGCCTGTACCTCGAGCTCCAAGGGGTCTGCTGCTCTCTGGCCTTCCTGGGCATCTGCACGCACACGGCGTACATGAATTTACTCCAGTTCACACAGGCACACACATACACATATATAAATTGTTGTGCACCTATAACCCTAACATTGGTGAGGTTGAGGCAAGCAGATCTCAGGTTCAAGGCCAGCCTGGGCTACATAGTGAGACCCTGTGACAAGTAAACAAAAGTGAACACTGATGTGCTCTTAGTGTGTGTGTCAGGTGTCATTCTGTGATGCGCTTTCTTCACAGGGGCTAATTGCTCGCAACTTCCTTACATAAGCACATCCCCAGTCCTCGGGGTGGGCTTCTAGCTCCATTCCCAACCTTCCCTGTAGGTGGGTGTGGCCAATAGAATGTGACAAAAGTGATTATGCCATTTCTAGGTCATCCCCGTAAAAGGAATGTGTGTGCTTCCATTTCTTTCCCTCTTCTCGCTTGCATTCTGACCGGTGAGATAACAGGAGCCAGTGCAGCCACTTTGGGGCATAGAGGTGAAAGCCACATGGCATAGACAATGTACCAGCTTTGAGCTACCGACCTTTGTAAGAGAAAATTTAAAATTGTGGTTTGTTTACTCACTAGATACAGGGGCTGCTTTGGCTATCTCCAAAATAATATTCTATTCCTCTTTGGTACCTATTTATATCTTTATTTCTAATTTTATCTTTTATATCCACATTTTGTTCTTTGTTATATTTTGTTTTTATCAAGACAGGGTTTTTCTATAGCCAGACTGGCCTCAAACTTTGAGAGAGAGAGAGAGGCCTGCCTCTGCCTGCTGAGTGCTGGGATTAAAGGCGTGTGTACCACTGCCTGGCCCGTATCCACATTTTGAAACTATACTGTTAAGAAGATGGTTATTCAATTATCTCATGTGTTCATTTACTTTAATGTGTTGAATGTTCTAAGATTTGTTCTCGCTACAGTTACAGTTGCGTGAACCTCAGGCTGGCTAGAGAATTCTGGAGCCGCATTCTCTTCTCCTCTGTTCCACTCACTGTGACATCTAAAGCCTGTGAAGCCCGAGGCCCTCCTGTCTCCACGCTCAGTGCAGCCCCGCCCACCTCGTCCCTCTGATATTTTCGTAGGATGCTTCTCCTTCTAGTCCAGTAACTTAGGAGTTTCTTGCCTCTAGTTTTATCTGGTCTCCTGGGAATATGGTAAGTGCTGGTGTCTCCACATCAAGTGGGTTTTTGTTTTGTTTCAGGGATTGTTTCCCGCCAGGTGGGTCCGTAGCTGTCCCACTGGCTGTCCCTCGCTCCCTGTGTGCCCTCTGTGGGGTGTTCTCAGGTCTGTCATACTGGCTGATGTCGCTCCGCACTCTGTGTCCCCTCAGCTCCTCGTGGCCTCTGTGGGGTGTTCCCTAAGTTTGTCATCCCTGTCGCTGACTCTCTCTTCTATTACGTGAGATGTAGCTCCTGTGTGACATCAATAATTTAAAGTTTTTCTTTCATGTTTTCTTCCTTTTCTCTTCCTGTCTTATTCTGGTTCCATTATTCTTTGTTCATATTATATTTAATTTCTACCAAAGTACCAAAGGTTCTTGTCAAATATTTTCTCCTGTTTTCTGAAATCATTTCTGTACTGATTTACAGTCACTTGGGTGTTTTTCTTGGCATTAGTTGAGGGGAGAAGGCAGGTCTTACTAAGAAATTATGACTTTTAATTTTAAAAGAAATATCTATCTTGAATTTTAAAACTCTTTGGCTATAACTTCTATTTAATAACAAGTTCGTGGCTGGAGAACTAACCTAAACATCACCACGAGGAAGCAACGGGTAAACCCAGAAAGTGGGGCACCCTGCAAAACATCTCTCCCAGGCTTTCACTAGACACACCCTAAGGAAGAGGCTCCACTGGATAAAGAAAAGGGAAGGTGAGCTCCCGGGCGTGGCGCTGACTCCCATAAGCCAGGTGAAATAATAGTTTTTTGGTTGTTTGGGGAAATTGTGATGTATGCTGAGGTGAGATGAGAGGAAGATACACAGTCACAAACATAGAGCTGACTACACAAACACATGATTGGAAAGGTTTGTGAAACAACAGAGCGTGAGGCCAGTTACTGCAGATGCTCTTATTCATGCCAATACACAGGTGCCTAAGGCCAGAGAATCAGGAGTTCAAGGTCATCCTCAACTATGCAGCAAGTTCAAGCAGTCTGGATCCCCGAGACCTGACTTCAGACCAAAACAAAACCCCAGTGTAGCATCTTGTAGTGTTGGAGCAAACACTTGCATTGCCCAGGCGTCACACATGTGTCAGGCTAAGTTCAGATGCCCTGTAACCTAGAATGATTGGTAACTACCGCTTTCATTCGCTGTAAAATTATTCCAGAAGAATCAACAGGAATTTTTTATCCCTAGCACCGGCCAGATTTAGGTTTGGCTCCATCTAATTTTTTAAAAAATCCAAGTTTGGGCTGTAGAGATGGTTTAGCAGGTACTTGCTGCAGCCTCCACCCATGGGTGCCAAAAGAGAGCAGGTGGCGAGAGAGAGAGAGAGAGAGAGAGAGAGAGAGAGAGAGAGAGCAGGCTCCCTCCAGCCTCCAGCATCACCCCACTTACACAAAATAATAAAAGCACATGTAAAAAAATTCCGAACTTATTTTTTCTCATAAAAAGAAATTCACAGCTCAGTATTAGAATGGAAGTTTTATTCCAGTGTGTGTGTTGGGGAGCGTTAGGGAGAGGGGTGGCCAGAGATGAACGAGGATGTCCCTGACTCCTCTCAGGAATCTCACTTGAGCTTCTGTTGTTAGGGTCCGGAGCTCGATGAAGAAAACACCCCAAATAGAATGCAGACAGCAAGGAGTGTGCACTGCAAAGTGACAAAGAACCCTGAACTGAGCTCACAGGTTACTTTTACAGGTACTCGGGGGATTTCAGGGTGGGTTAGGTAATCTTTGGTATGATTGGAGCATTTAAAATGCGGTCAACTTTTGAGCCCGTCAGCAATCATTAGTTTCTAACCTGACAGTTAAGCAACCTTCTTTTTCCTGCCAGACGGCCCAGCAGAGGGTCCAGCAGGGGGCCAGGTGGCCTCTGATTGGCTGCCCATTTTCTGTGGTCTTTCCAGTAAATGCTGATCTATTCTGAGAAATGGGAACATAGGCCTGCTCCTTTTTTTTTTTTTTTTTTTTTTTTTTTCCTAACAAAATACTGATGCTTGTCTTGGCATAAGCTCAGATCCTATGTCAGGCTGTAGTGGGGTCTCAAATGGGACTTCACTTTCAACGGGGGGTCTCACACTATGTCTTTCACTAGACTAGTCACATGGCCTTTCCTAGCTGCAAGGGAAGCCACTAAATGTACTCTTTATTCCAGACGGCCTATGCTCAAGATAATGTCAAACTACAAAAGTGAACATCAGAGGAGTCTACTAAGTATGTCTAGAAGAAATTTTGTTTTCTTTTTCTTTTTTTTTTTCCAGAGCTGAGGACTGAACCCAGGGCCTTGCGCAGCAAGCGCTCTACCACTGAGCTAAATCCCCAACCCCTGTTTTATTTTTCAGGACAGGTTTCTCTATGTACTCCTAGCTCTCCCAGAACTCATGCTGTAGACCAGGCTGGCTTCAGACTCACACTGATCCACCTGCCTCTGCCTCCCAAGTGCTAAGATTAAAGGCATGTGCTACCATTGCCCAGCAAAGAATTTTTTAATTGATTTATTTATTTTACACCAGACCAAAGTTTCCCCTCCCTCCCCTCCTCCCAGTCCTTCCCTCTTTCCTCCCCTCCCCACCATCCTCTGTCCTCCCTTTCTCCTCAGAAAAGGCTCAGAAAAAGGGAGGGCTCTCATGGGTATCACCCCACCTTGGGAGGTCACGCTGTGGTATGACTCGGTGCATCTTCCCCCACTGCAGCCAGATGAAGCAGCCCGTGTTTGGGAAAGGGGTCCCCACAGAGTCAGAGAGAGTAACAGACACTGTCAGGAGACCCACGTGACACAGAGCTGCACCATTGTTACATACGTGCCGAGGCCTAGGTCTGTCCCAAGTGTGCTCTCTGTTTGGGTGTTTGGTCTCTGTGGCCCCGTGGGCCCTGGTGAGTTGATGCTGTAGGTTTTCTCGTGCTGTCCTTGACCTCTCTAGCTCCCTCCTCCATCTTCCCCGAGCTCCACCTAATGTCTGCATCAGTTTCCATCAGCTGATGAGCGAAACCTCTCAGCTACAGCTATGCCAGGCTCGTGTCTGCGCGCACAGCAGAATGCCATTAACAGCGTCAGGGGGGGCCTCTCTCATGGCACACCTCTCAAGCTGGGCCTGTCACCGCTTAGTCATCTCCACAATTTCTGCAAGAAAAGTTTGGTTTTTGTTTTTTAATATCGAGGTTATTTCTTTGGTCTCTCTTTTCTTCCTTTTCATAACTGTAGCAATATTGTGCGGAACAGAAAGAAGTGGAGAAATATCGGGCTATGTAAGCATCTATTACATAGTTATTAAAATGACTCAGAGCACCAGAGTTGGAAGGCTAGTGGGTACAGAGGAGGAAAAGATGGACACCTCAGAACACCATTTATACAATTGTTCGGCATCGCGTTTAGAGCCAAAAGCGTTGTCACGATTAACTTTCTAGACCAGGAGTTAAGGTCTCCTTGCACTGAAGGCTGAGGAGCACCACGCAAGTGGACGAGGCAGAAAAGAGCGAAGTCAACTTTCCAGTAGATTCGGGACATCTCGGTTGTTAACTCTGCCCAGCCCTTCTCTGAACCTGTCAGCCACAGGTGGCTAGGTGCTTCCTGGGAAGACGGAGACAGCCTTTGACCAGGCTTTCAGTTTCCAGGGGCGTACAGGCCACAGGGGTAGGCTGTCACGCCATCCTTAGAGAATCCTACCTGATGGGAGTTGTAACCGGTGGTTGGGCGGGTGTAGCCTTGTGGCCGTGGGAGAGGGAACCAGACTGGGAACTCCACAGCGCCCAGCCTCTGCCTCTGTGGTGAACACAGGACTATCCAGCCAATCCTTTGTAGCTCTGGCTGCTAAACCATTTTTCTAAAATTACTGCATTTGACCTCAATGGTCAAATCCTAGAACGTTGTCCAAGTTAGACTGGTCTGTCTCCTTAAACTGACTTTGAACAGTGCTCAGCCTCCTTGGTCCTTTGACCCGAACCACACCCAAAGTTTTGATTTTTTTTTTTTTCTTCCTCTGTCTCGGGGAAATACAGAATCACTGAGATGAGGTGCTGTCCCTCTCAGCTGGTGCCCTCCCACAGCTGGCCTTGTGGTAGGAAACTAATTCGTTCTCCTGCTCCTTCAGTTTTAACCTCCTAAGGGAGAAAACTCCTGCAGCTGCGACCAGCCAGGCAGAGAGCAGGCGCCAGCGGCTCGCCTCGAAACAGAAATGGTTCTTGCACGTAAGCCAGGGCTCAGGGGTGGGGGCTCACATCATGCTAAGCCAGGGTGTGGGAGGTTTGTGTCATGTTCAGCCGGAGTATGAGAGGCTGATGTCATGCTAAGCCAGGGCCTGGGGGCAGGGTGAGATCATAGCATGTGAGGTTCTGGAAATTAGTTTTGAGGAGACAGCAGCCCCTCGAGCTGTCTAGAATCGTTAACACGAAGAGAGTAAGTGGGGAGGCCAGGAAGATGGCGCGGCCGTGAGATGTCTCAGCAGATAAGGCCATGTGCCTACCACAAGCCTGAGGACCTGAGTGTGAGGCGCAGAGCCTGTGTGTCGGAAGGAGAGACTTGATCCCATAGCTTGTCCTCTGATTTTCACATGTGCTGTGGCATTCTCGCCCCCCAACCCCAGTCAGTCAATCATCAATCAGTCAATCGTAAAAAGGGGAGCTCGAACCACATATACAGGCCTGTGATCTCAGGAATTTGGGAGGCTGAGGCAGTAAGTTCAAGCACTGTGTAGACTGGGGTACACAAAACAGCATGTGTGGGGCCCTGGGTTCAATCTCCAGTAAAACACACACACACACACACACACACACACACACACACACACACACACACGCATGTGAGAGAGAGACAGACAAGACAGAGATTAACAGACACAAAGAGCTTTTCTTCCGGGCAGTAACGGGCTTCCTAACAGCCCGTGCTCCCTGCCTGCCTCAGGCCTTCCCCACAAGCTCTGTGACAGTCCGGTGCGGGCCCCACGGAAGGACTTGGGATGAGCAGCATTGGCTCGGGAGGAAATGGGAGGCCCTCCTCACTTCCTTTTCCTGCAGGCCTGCTGTGGTTTTTCATGATGTCATCCATTCATCATTGTGAGCTGACTGGCTGCCCCCCAGGCCTTGGCCAGCTGCCCATGACCAGAAGGGAAGAGACAGATCCCAGGACAACTGTGCGGAGGGCCCCTGAGCATGCGCAGACATGATGACATCAGATCCACCTAGAAAGTCTTGGCAGAAATCGAAGAAGACAGTAAAAGTTAAAAGATCTTATCCAACCTTCCCTTCCTTGATCGCCTGGGAAAAATTCAGGGGCCTCTTGCCTGTGGATGGGGAGCCGAACCCTGGAGTGGGCCTGGGCGTGGAAGAAGGACTACTCTGCCAGATGGTTCATTCTCCAGAATTCAACCTGTTTCCTAACTCCGTGGTGTTTGAAAGCAACTTTATCCAGGTACTCTTGGGTGACCCACAACCGTACCCCCGGATCCTTCTAAACCTGTTCCCAAGATGTGGCTGAAAGAGTTACCCCTAGAACTGCAGTGGAGGTAAACTGAGGCAGGAAAGCTAGGGGGCCTGAGACCTGAGGCTGACTAGCGTTTCTCCAGAGGCGCAGGCCTGTTGAGAGAGGTCAGGCATTCTTTGCTGAGAGGGACATTGGCCTCCCCAGTTCATGTCATTTCCACTCGGGCCTGTCACCTGAGAGGAGGTGGCCTTTGATGACTAGGAGCAGATGTCTTGCTGGGCCGAGAACAGGACGCAGGGACCAGAGAACCTGGGCTTAGAGGCCAGTCTCTGCACTGGTGGGAAGGTACCATTGTGCAGGGAACCTGTGCAGATCTACTTAAACGTAGCAAGCAAACTGCAGGGTCTAGTGGGCACTGGTGTATTTATCGCCTTTTACCTTCCTGGGCTCCCTGTGGGCCGAACAGAGCCTAGAATAAATGGAAGGGCCATGAGGATGAGTGCTTTTTTGTTTGTTAGTTTTGGTTTTTTGAGCCAGGGTTTCCTCTGTGTGGCCTAGGATGTTCCTGGACTTGCTCTGTACACCAGGCTGGCCTGGAATCCACCTGTCTCTGAGTGCTGGGATTAAAGGCTTACGCTCATCCAGGATGGATGTTTTTTAAAGCAAAGCCAGGAAGCTGTAAAGGGAGGCTCCATAGACACAGAGTAGATTCAAAGGGACCCCTGGCTTCTCTTTCTTGCTCCTGTGTTAATAGTTGGTCCTTTAAGTCCTGTTAGAGAAACACACATAGGTGGCTTGAGCCTGGAATGCCACCACCCAGGAGGCTGAGACAGGAGGAGGCCCTTGAGAATGAGACTATAGGGCTGGGCTATAGAGTAAGACACTGTTTTGTTTTGCTTAAATAACACACACACACACACACACACACACACACACACACACAAAAAAAAATCCTGTGAGAGCTTTTAAACCAATCCAATACAGGTTAAAACACTTGTCAAAAAAGCCAGGTGTGGTGGTGCGCGCTGTGATCCCAGCACTCGGGAGGCAGAGGCAGGCAGATCTCTGTGAGTTCCAGGCCAGCCTGGTCTATAGAGTGAGTGCAGGATGCAGAGAAACCATGTCTCGGAAAACCAAACCAAACCAAACCAAACCCAACCAACCAACCACCCAAACAAACAAAACAAAAAACACTTGTCAAAAAACAATGGTGAAGCCCTCGTTTCCAAGAGACATTTGGCAACGTCTAGAAACATTTTCAGTGGTCAGAATCTGGGTGGGAATTTGCTGTGGACACTGTTAACCACCCCACAGCACAGCGTAGCCGTCCTCCTATAAGAAGTTAAGCAGCTATCACCATATGATGGCTCTCACCTGTAGTCCCAGCACCCGGGAGGCAGAGGCAGGCGGCTCTCCCTAGTCCTAGTCTACACAGTGAGCTCCAGGCCAGCCAGAGCACAACCGAAACTCAGTGCAGAGGGAAGAGGCTGGGCTAATACTTCTTGCTGCTCTTGCCAAATGCTCAGGCTGGGCCTGGGGGCTGCCTTGCAGGTCAGAAGGAGTAGAAACTGGAAAGAAATCTACAAGGCCTCCAACACAATGGCCCTTGGGGTGACCTCCTCCGTACCTTGCCTTCCCCTTCCGAACATCCTCCTTATGGCCAGAGTCAAATGGCATAAGGGGCAGAGCCAGAGGTGGAACAAACCACCCACGGCCCCGAGTATCATCCTGAAGAGGTAAGCAACACGGGAGAGGAGTGAAGGGCAGAGCAAGGCGAAGAGTGGCTGGAACTGAACTTAAGATGGGGAGAAACTGAGGAGTTGTGGCAGTGACATTAACGGGGATTTTTGTTTTGTTGGGGTTGGTTTTGTTTGTTTGTTTGTTTGATTGGTATTGGTTTTTTGAGACATAATTGGCTGTCCTGGAACTCACTCTGAAGACCAGGCTGGGCTTGAACTCGGAATTAAAGGTGTGCACCACTCACCCCTGACTTGTTTTGTTTTAAAACAAAAACAAAAACTCCTGGTAACGATGAAACCACAGTGCAGTCAAGTGTGGCTTGGGCCCTTGGCCCACATGCTCTTCCTCCTGAGTGTTTGAATTACACACGGGCGCTAGCTGTGTGTAATTACACTAGCGTGTAACTCAAACTCTGTGCCCAGCTCCTAACTGCTGTGGATTGCAGGAACCTAGGACAGGTCGGGGACTGGAGATAGCTCAGTCAGCAACATGCCTGCTATGCAACCATGAGCGTTATTGCATGCTTGGAATAAAGGGGAGGAGGAAGAGGCGGGTCCTAGGGACCTACTTCCCAGCCAGTCCAGAGAGAAGAAAACCAGATCCAGTGATAAATGTCTCAAAAAACTGTGGTGGAGATTTTTAAGTGACTGTCTGCCCGACTCGCTAGCCCACTTCCTTCCTCAGGAGCTCTCTTTTCTTTTTCTTTTTTAATAAATTTTTATTTTTTATATTAATTACAGTTTATTTACTTTGTATCCCAGCTGTAGCCCCCTCCCTCATTGCCTCCCAATCCTACCCTCCCTCCCTCATCTCTTCCCTGCCCCTCTCTAAGTCCACTGATAGGGGAGGTCCTCCTCCCCTTCCATCTGATCCTGGTTTATCAGGTCTCATCAGGACTGGCTGGGCCTGGTAAGGCTGCTCCTACCTCAGGGTGTGTGTGGGGGGGAGGTCAAAGAGCCAGCCACTGAGTTCATGTCAGAGACAGTCCCTGTTCCCCTTACTAAGGTACCCACTGGATTCTGAGCTGCCATGGGATACATCTGTGCAGAGGTTCTAGGTTATATCCATGCATGGTCCTTGGTTGGAGAAACAGTCTCATAAAAGATCCCTGTGCCCAGATATATTTGGTCCTTGTGGAGCTCCTGTCCTCTCCAGGTCTTACTAACTCCCTCTTCTTTCATAAGATCCCCTGTACTCTGTCAAAGGTTTGGTTATGAGTCTCAGCATCTGCTTTGATACCCTGATGGGTAGAGTCTTTCAGAGGCCCTCTGTGGTAGGCTCCTGACCTGTTTCCTGTTTTCTCTTTCTTCCAATGTCCATCCTATTTGTCTTTTTGAGTGAGGATTGATCGTCTTACCCAGGGTCCTCCTTCTTAATTAGCTTCTTTAGGTGTACAGATTTCAGTATGATTATCCTATATAATATGTCTAATAGCCACTTATAGGTGTGTATATACCACGTATGTCTTTCTGCTCCTGGGATACCTCACTCAGGATGAACTTTTCTAGATCCCACCATTTGCCTGCAAATTTCATGATTTCCTTGTTTTTAATTGCTGAGTAGTATTCCATTGTGTAAAAGTGCCACAATTTCTGTATCCATTCCTCCACTGAGGGACATCTGGGTTGTTTCCAGATTTTGGCTATTAGGAATAAAGCTGCTACGAACATGGTTGGGCAAATGTCCTTGTTGTGTACTTGAGCATCTTTTGGATATATGCCTAGGAGTGGTATAGCTGGATCTTGAGGAAGCACCAGATTGATTTCCAAAGTAGTTGTACAAGTTTACATTCCCACCAGCAATGGAGAGGGGTTCCCCTTTCTCTCCACATCCTCTCCAGCACTTGAGGTTTTTTTTTTTTGATTTTTTTTTTTTTTTTTTTATCTTAGCTATTCTGATGGGTGTAAGGTGAAATCTCAGGGTCATTTTGATTTGCATCTCCCTGATGACTAAGGACATTGAGTATTTCTTTAAGTGTTTCTCTGCCGTTCTATATTCCTCTACAGAGAATTCTCTGTTTAGCTCTGTAATCCATGTTTTAATTGGATTGCTTGATTTGTTGCTTTTTAACTTCTTTAGTTCTTCATATATTCTGGATATCAGTCCTCTGTCAGACAGAGGGTTGGTGAAGATCCTTTCCCAGTCTGTAGGCTGTTGTTTTGTTTTGATGACAGTGTCTTTTGCTTTACAGAAGCTTTTCAGTTTCATGAGGTCCCATTTATTGATTGTTGCTCTTAGAGCCTGTGCTGTTGGTGTTCTGTTCAGGAAGTTGTCTCCTGTGCCAATGAGTTCCAGGCTCTTCCCCACTTCTTCTAACAGGTTTAGTGTATCTGGTTTTATGTTGAGGTCTTTGATCCACTTGGACTTTAGTTTTGTGCAGGGTGATAAGTATGGATCTATTTGCATTTCTCTGCATGTAGACATCCAGTTGGACCAGCACCATTTGTCTTTTTTCTATTGAATTATTTTGGCTTCTTTGTCAAAAATTCTCTTTTCTTTTTAATTTTTTTTAATGCATGTGAATGTCTTGTCTGCATGTACATCTGTGCATCATGTGTGTGCCCGGTGCCTGGGTAGGTCAGAAGAGGGTGTCAGATCCCTGGAACTGGAGTTACATATGGCTATGAATTGCCAGATCCTCTGCAAGCACAAGTTTTCCTTCTTTCTTAGGACACCATCCCTTTAAAAACTATGGTGGGGGTTGGAGGGATGGTTCAGTGGTTAAAATCCCCAGCTCCTCTTGGTGCAGTTAGCAACTGTCTGCACCTCCACAGACTCTTTCCTGGGTTTTTCGGGCACTGAGTACACATACATACATACACACACACACACACACACACACACACACACACACACACACACAGAATCCCCATGCACATAACAGCAAATATTAAAATAAAATTTCAAACATGTTGGCACACGCCTTTAAATCCAGCACTCAGGAGGCAGAGGCAGGCGGGTCTCTGTGTGTTTGAGGCCAGCTTGGTCTACAAAGTGAGTTCCAGGACAGCAGGGCTACATAGTGAGACTCTGTCTCAAAAAACAAAAGCAAAAACAGCAATAGAGGAAGAAAGTGTCATTGGCCCCTGGCTTCCACACACAAACACACACAGACAAGCACACACCGGACAAGTATGCATGCCTTCCCCAGTGTCTGAGCACCGCTGGCAAAGAACTCTCCTTCCTACCCCTAAAAGCCTCCACCCATGAGAAGCCACATCACAGTGATGGGGTGGTCCAGGCGTCATTTTCTGTGCCTTCAGAATTCTCCCCTTGAAGTTTGTGGAACTCCAGATCTGTGACCACCACGAACGCATCCTGCGGCTGAGGACAGTCACCGAGAAAATCTACCACCTCAAGCTCCACCCCGACCATCCCGAGACTGTCTTCCACTTCTGGATCCGCCTGGTTCAGATTCTGCAGAAGGGTCTGTCCATCACCACCAAGGACCCTAGCATCCTTGTCACTCACTGCCTGGTACCCAAGAGCCTTTGCAGCTCATGCGGAAAGTCTGAGGTAAGGAATTCCCACGGCCAGCCTTCAGCCAAGACCAGAGTTGGAGATGGCTGACCTTGAGCAGCTGCGGCTGAGCACCCAGAAGCTGTCCTCAGCTTTCACTCTATCCCAGACATGCTAGCTCTCAGGAGCACAGGACACGCCTTTCGAGGTGTGAATGCTTCAGTAAATGTACATAGTTGCTCAATCATCAGCTACGACCACAATTCAGTGACCGTGAACAAGACAGAAGGGTTTTATTTGCTACCTTTTTGTTTGTTTGGTGTTTGGAGATAGGTCTCATGTAGTCCAAGCTGGCGAAAAACTCAATATGTAGCCTAAGCTGGCCTTGAAATTCTGGACCTGCTTTCTGTAGTTCCCAGGTACTAGGATAACTGGCATGTTCTACCATGCCAGGCCACAAGAGATTTTCCTGGGGTGCACGCATGTGTGTGAGGCGTGCGTGTATCAGGTGGACGTATGCACTGAGGGGCACGTAGAGGCTGGAGGAAGACGCCACGCATGTTCCTCTATTGCTCTTAGCCTTCTTCCTCTGAGACAGAGCATTTCAACAAACCTGGAGCTGGGGGGATTTTTGCTAGGCTGGTGGCCAGCCAGGCCCAGCGATCCTCCTGCCTCTGCATCCCGCTCCCCACCCCAGTGCTAGGGCTGGAGGTGGGCATGGCTGTGCAGGGCTCTTTACATGGTCCTGATTCTTTCACAAGCACCTTTCCTAGCCCACGAGGGAGTTGTTTTGGTCTTTTCATTCTCTATTCTCACCCCACTGATCTCTATAAAGTCACCTTAGATGTTTCATTTGTTGTTTGTTGCTGTGAGACGGGGTCTCCTGTAGGCAAAACTGCCTCAGGTGGTCTTAGTGCTGGGATCATAGGACCCCCCCCGTGTGTGTGTGTGTGTGTGTGTGTGTGTGTGTGTGTGTGTGTGTGTGGCGAGCCATGGCACACATGCAGAGGTCAGAGGACAGCTTTGGGTGTTGATCCTCATCCTCTGCCTTGTTTGGGACAGTGTCCCTTGTGTCCTCTGTGTACCCCAAGCTAACTGGCCCTTGACTTTGTGGGATTCTCCCGTCTCTGGTTTCCATGTGACCACGGAGTTCTGGGATTTCACGCGTGAGCTGCATCTGATTTGACATGGGTTCTGGGGCGTCCAGCTCTGTATTCATTGACATCCTTTTGCCAAACGTGTTCCTAACCACTAACCACCAACTGGTTAGTGGTGGAATCTTGTGAACACAATTGTGAGAGTTGTGTTGTGAAGCAGGATCTCACTGTAGAACCCAGGCTGGCCACTAGCTCCAGGCCCTGCTTTATTAGCTTCCGAGTGCTTATGCTACAGGCACTACAGTACCTGGCTTTGAAACTATGGAGGTGTTTTGTTTGTTCTAGACAGGATCTCGTTCATTCATGCCTTTTGAGTTGTGGTCCAAGGAATTAGGGGATGTTGGCAAACAGCTTAAGAAAGGGTTGGGGGATAGAGTCTCCAGTGAAGCCGTGAGAAGGCTCAGAGTGTTGGGCCTTGTGCCTAGGCTTTTGGTGTGTGCTTTCTGAGGTGGGATACAGAGCCGTGAGTGGCTCAGCGGTGAAGCCCTGTGCGCAACTGTGTCTAGGAAGAACAAGTACACGGTTCTATTAATGGGGTAATTACCACCCCCGTCCTTAGCGTGTCCTTAGGGGCATCAGATTTCCTGACAGGTGGACTGGTCAGGTGACTCATAGGCCGTCTTGGGGAGGACCCCTGGAGCTCTCTGACCAGCCCGCTCTACAGAGGCTGGGAGAGCCAGATTCAACAGAAGGCCTGTCTTAAAATAAAAAGCAGAAGCCGGGTGCGGTGGCACACACCTGTTATCCCAGCACTCCAAGAGGCAGAGGCAGGAGGATCTCTGTGAGTTCAAGGCCAGCCTGGTCTACAGATCGAGTTCCAGGACAGCCAGGGCTACACAGAGAAACCCTGTCTCGAAAAACCAACATACATAAATACATACATACACACACAAATGGTGAATGATAGGGAAACACTGTGTTAACCTGTAACCTCTGTCCGTGTTCTTGTGTGTGCGCCTGAATGTACATATACACACACACATAAACAGGTACACAAATACACTAACATCCACAAAGCAACTGCATACAGCACTTTTCTTAGGGGAGTCTTTTTAAACATTAACTTCTCTGAACATGTACATTTAAGTATAAAAACAGGTAGCACCAGCTGTTGAAATTCGTATTGACAAGTTGATGATACTAAGTCTGTCTTGGCAAGAATACAATGAGGGTCTTACCTCTAAGGTACTGAGGGGCATTTTATCAAATTCCAACAAAGAGAAGTGCTCCCCACCCCAAGGCTGGCACGGCCGCCTGACGGGAGAGCTTCAGAGTCTTTGTCTTAGGAATATGGAGAGCCGGAGGCGTAGCCTCCTGTTCTGTCTGTTTGCTCTTCCTCCATACAGTCAGCGCAGCAGAAACTCCAAGACGCCCAGCCCAGTGAGAGCCTGATGCAGCTGATGGCCCAGGGGGAGAGCGAGGCCCTGTCGCAGATCTTTGCCGACTTGCATCAGCAGAGACAGTACAGGTACATGATTTAAAGCAGGCTGGCCCACGCCATCCTTCTGTGCAGCCCAGAAGGTGCCAGCGCGGAGACCCTTGGAAAAGGAGCGGCACAGCTAGGGATGTGCTACCCAGTCACACATGCCCGGGGCCCACTGCCTTAGTCCCAACCACAGCAAGCAGGGTTGGGAAGGAATGGAAACACTTCTTCAGCAATGAGAACGAGTAACAGGCACTGGAGAACGAAAGCTGCATGCTAACCGTGGCTGGTTCTAGAGAGGCGCAGCCACATAACCCTTGCTCTGCACCTGCGGTGCGCTGGCTCATCTCCCTTTGACTGGGCCTCTGTCTGGGCATCATAGAGCGCCTGCACTTGTTCCTATAGTCTCCGGGGATGCTCCAGGGTTGAGTCCTGTCTTCCCCACACCTGAAGAAGCCCCTGTCGTAGCACTGATGCGTGGTGATAAGAGTACAGGAAGCCAGGTGTGGTGACTTACCTGTCATGCCCTGGGAAGGGTCTAAGGCTGCATGTGGCAGTGCACCTCAGCAGTCCCAGAGCTCAGGGAGGCAGAGGCAGGCAGATCTCTGTGAGTTTGAGGCTAGCTTCATCTACAAAGTGAGTCCAGGATAGCCAAGGCTACGCAGAGAAACCTTGTCTCGAAAACAAACAAAAATGAGAAAGAGACAGAGAGAGTCTGAGGTAAGCAGATTGTTTCAAGGTTAAGGCTAGCCCAGGCTACAGAATGAGTTCCAGACTAGCTTAAGCTACAAACAGAGAAGGAAAACCAAATCTAATTATTAAACATCACCAGGAGAGAAAAATGAAGCGTCAGAAAAAGGAGACTTTAAGATGGGATCTCATGCAGCCAGGCTAGCTTCAGACTTCATATGTAATCAAGGATGATCTTGAATTCCTGATCCTCCTGCCTCCACCTCCCAAGTGCTGGAATTATGAGAAAACCTGTGCCACCATTCTGGGCTATAAGAAGACAGTCCCCCTACACACACACACACACACACACACACACACACACACAAACACACACACACTAGCTTACCGGGACTGAATGGAGAGCCGCAAGCTCCTAGGCATGGGCTCTGCCACTCAGCTTTATCCAAGAGGACCAGGGTGCATCCTAACAGGAAGCAGCCAGAGCATCTCAGAGGCAATAGTGGGGATGGTAAGCTGAAAACCAAGGGATCTCAGAACAGCTCTGAGAGTGCTTGAAGGCTCACAGAACAGTCCCTCCGCTTTCAGTTCTGGAAAGCCTAAAGGACAGCACCAGCCTTACCTGATGCTGTTGGGATTAAATGAACTCATAAGCATCATTCAACATCCTTTTTGTCAGACTGGGAAGCGGACATGAGCGTGAGCTCAATTAGTATGCGTTACTAATTATCTTGGGAAAGGTTCACCAATTTGTACAAAGATGGTCACTATATAGCATACAGAAACTGTAGCTAAATGTTTACATTCAATGCCACGTTCTAAACCAGTGCTCAATTCTGATAGAGCACTGAAACAGTTTTTAACTGTTTTAAATTATGAAAACACTGGGTTTGTGGCACAGCTGTCATCTTAAGTGACTGAGAGATGGCCTCCTGTGTGCTGGAATGGGGCATGAGCCACAGTCCCTGGCTTCTTTGAATTGTTCTGTTTGTTTTCCAAACAGGGTCTCACTATGTTGGCAAGGCTGGCTCAGAATTCAGGATCTTCCCGCCTGAGAGTACAGGCATAACCGCAGTCTGCAGCTAACTTACTATCTAAAGGACACTGTGCTAGCTACCTTTCTACCATTGTGATAAAACGCCGCGGCCAAGACAACCTGAGGTTTATCTGGACTTAGAGCCGCAGAACCATATGAGGCCGTCACGGCACGGAGATGTAGATAGCAGCTAGTGGGAGGTAGGGCAGCAGGAGCAGGAAAGCCTAGAGCTCACATTTTCAAATGCAAATACAAAGAGGTCTAGCTGTGTCCAGCTTTTAATCTCAAAGTCTGTCCTTTGTGACATATTCCTCCTACAAGGATGGAAACCCTGGAGAGGACCAACAGCACCTAAACCTCTCCAAATAGACCCACCAACTGGGGACTGAGTGTTCAGATACTCAAGCGGTGTGTGTGTGTGTGTGTTTGCAAAACAGACCTTTTTGCATAGATCTCATGCTGAATTACTGGCTGCAACCTGGTCCCATGGCCCAACCCAGCTTCAAAGGTGGCTAAGAAGCATCTTCTCCTTTACACACACGCCCAGACAAAATTAAGTGTTCTCTGTCAGAAATGATGGTCCATGCCTCCAACTCCAGCACTCAGGAGGCTGGGACAGGAGGATTCCTTTGAGTTTGAAACCAACCTAGGCTAACCTGTCCCAAAACAATAATACCGCACAAAATTAGGTGCTCTATCCCCAAAGGAAAAAAAGGGGAGCAGGGTTACTGGGGACCTAGTAGCCCTATCAGGTTAGAGGGAGTGAAGCCCCAGTAGAGAAATAAGTACTAGCCAAAAAGAGGGTACCGAGAGTCAAGCAGGTTGAAGAGGAAGGAGCTTTAATAGGTTTAGGGAAGGATCAAGAAGGCCACTGGGCAAGAAGCTGGCAGAGGCCCAGCCACTCCTCAGGAAGGGCCTGAGGAGCCTTGTGAGGATTTTAGAATCGCAGGGGAGGAGGAGCCTTATGTGCATTTCACATGTGAGGATGCTGTGATCCAATTTACATCAGAAAAAGGTCACTCCAGCTGTTGCCTTGACAGATGGTCGGAAGGGTAGGAGAAGAGACTCAGACCAGACAAGCAGCTGAACTGGTCTGAAGTGTGCAAAATGGGTCAGGGAAGTTCAGGGAAAAAGTGGAAGGCATTACTTCCACTTCTGTTATCGCAGTAGCTGCTTTGCATAGACCCGTAGCTTCCTCAGTTTCCCAGAACAAAGCCCTATGTGATAACGCGTTCCGTTTAGGCACTTTCCAAGCTGGTCGCTGTGTTTGCTCATAGTATCAACTGAACAGGAAGTAGCAAGCATGGCTGAGAGGCAAGATCCAAGAGAGGGTCACACCTCTCCTCCTCACACAAATCAGTGCCATGGGCTCTGTTCCCTACCTCCTTCCATCCCAACTCCTCTTTCCTTTTTCTCTCCTGGAAGCATCATGTGCCTCACACCCACCAGCTGGCTGTTTTCAGATCTATGTCAGCCTGGAAATCTTCTGCCTCAGGAAAAGTCTAGCTAGGGATAAGCTGTGACTTCAGGGCTGAGCATGTAAGGAGCTAGTAGGATGCTTGCCCTAGCATCCACAAAGCCTGGGGTTGGGCCCCAGCACGGCACAAACCCCGAAAGGTGGTGGAACATGCCTTGTGATTCCAGCACTTGGGGAGACAGGAGGGTCAGGAGATTAGATCACTAGCTACACAGCGAGCTTGAGGCCAGCCTCAGATATGTGAGACCTTGTCTGCAAACACAAACAGCAAAAACAACAAAAAAAATGAGCTCAGTGTTCTTCTCCTTAACTTTTGATCTTTGTTTCCTCGACCCTGAAATGCCTGGAGTTCCAGGAGTTTCGAAATGGTGAAGATCAAGAAGAAGACCTCAGGTAAGGAAGGATGGAGGCTCACGTGCCGGGCAGGAACAGCTGCTGTGAAGGTGGGCACTCAGCTCCCCACGGCACCCCCTCCAACCTTCTGGATACCAGTAAGGAGTGCCATAGCATCTTCATGCATAGTTGTCATCTCTCCAGGCGTTTTGACCACCAAAAGCCATTTGTCACTAAGCCCCAACCATCCATTTCTTTGAGGTGCTTCTGTAGTCATTTCCAGTTCCACAGAATGACCCTAGCCAGTCCTTTTGCCCTGACATCTGCAGTATCTTGCTGACTCACTGACTTCTTCGAAAGCATTCACTGGAGGCTCTTTGTACGCTGCCTTCTCTCAAGGCAGGTAGAGTCCCCTGATTACAACTTACAGAAACTCCTTTCTAGACTGCATTCAAAGTTCACGCTGGGGGGCCAGAGGTATATGCTTTTTAGGTTGTTGGTCGAAGGAGGTTAGTGTCTAAGGCATATATGCTAGGGTCAGGAGAGACAGAGCAGATGAGGCCCTGTGGAGAACTGTGAGTCCTTTGTCGGCTTCCCCATCTTTCCTGTCGCACCTGCTCACATTGCTGCCTCAGATCGGCAGATGTGGAACCACACCTGCTGCAGTCAGAGTTCAGCCGTGCCTCCCCATTGGTTAGCGCCCACCGCCCACGTCCTTCCCTGAGGAGCTCTAGACCCACCTGTCCTAACCCTCTAGCACACACTCCCCCCAGGACTCCGCTTTCCTCCCTCTCACGCGGCCCCTGGTTCTCTCACAGGCTTAAGGCTTATTTCTTAATGAATGTTAAATTGCATCCATGCTCTAAGTCATCTAAAGCGGCAAGCACAGCGCTGGGTACACAATGGGAGTTCAGTAACTATCTGGACCTAAGACCATTGACAAACGAATTCTCCATACTGGCTCAGGAGATGGCCGCATTATGATGGATTTAGAAATGTAAATGGAGTTGTTTGATTCTAGGATCCAGGATCCAAATCAGAGCTTTTTACAAATGCCTAAGTCCAGAGGGGGAATAAATGGATAAAGGTCTAAGGGTACATGGGCAAAAGGAGTGGCTGACCCAAGGTAGTTAAAACAACTGCTGGTGGCAGTGGGGAGATGCTCTTGCTGAGGACCCAGGTTCAATTCCCAGCTCACAGGCAGCTTACCAATAAATGTAACTCCAGGCCTGGGGAATCCGACACCCTCTCCTGCCTCCATGCGCAGCAGGCAGGCCTGTGGTGCAGTCATACGTGCAGGCAAAATAGTCATTCACGAGGAACATCAGGAAACCCAAAAAGCAGCGATGCTGGCGACCGAACCCCTGTGTTCCACACTAAGAAGACAACAGGGAGCCGTGCAGATGGGGGCACAGCAGCAGTGAGTGTCTCGGTTACAGCTTTGGTTAAACGCTGCCATGCCAGCACATGGGCTAGCACTGTCAGGTCAGAGCTGCCGTGTTAGCACACACAGCACAACGTGCTCAGAAAGTCTTGATTGTTTTTTTTTTTTTTCAAGAGACACCCTAAATCTAAATGTTTAAATATACTCTGTAAAAATGGAAGTGCAGGATACACTAACATTTAGTGGGCAAGAAGGATGTGCCAGAGCGAAGGCTGCGCTCAGTGCTGCCAGCCCATGAGTCCTGTCAGGTGAGCAGAACTCGCTTCCCCCAGATCTGTGACTGCTTTCTCCCATGACAACTAATTTTGCTGTTTATGTAATATTCAAGCACATTCACAAATGCACACACTTCAAAAATATTTCTTGGGGTTAGGGATAAGGAAAGCAGAACATTCCAGAATGTTTCTGATGACTGCTGGGACTGGAGAGAAGATTTAAATTTTAGGGTACCCACCCAGGTGTGGTGGTGCAGCGCTTGGAAAGCTGAGTTGGGAGAAACACCTCAAGTTTGAGACCAGCTTGGTCTATATAGCAAGTTACAGGATAACCTGGGCTACATACTAAGATCCTTTACACCAAAAAGCATTTCAGGACATCTGAGGTTGGGACATTCTTAGGCTGATTTTAATGAGCCACATTGGGATGCTCTCTGGACCCCGTTTTCTTTCTGTCACCTATTGAACCACACTATAAGCCCTCGATTGGAACTTCAGGATAGAAAAGGGGAGGGTACAGCTGGGGAGTAAAGCCTTTGCCTTGCAAGAATGAGGAACTGAGTTTGAGCTCCAGAGCCCATGGGGCTGAAGAGATCCTCAGTGTTTAAGACTGCATATTCCCCAGCATCTGTTTGGTTCCTAGGATCCACTTTGGGTAGCTCATGGCTACCAACTCCAGGGGAATCAGGGGAGATCAGATGCCTCTGGTCCCTTGTCGCTACGCCACACAGGAACAGATGTACACACACGTACCCGGGCACTCAGGAGACATTGGGGGGCATGCCTGCAGTCCTAGCCCCTGGAGGCACTCGAGATCAGGCTGCACAAGAGCTCAGCACTATCCTGTGGAGGGGACGGGGGCAGGGAGGAGAGGGACAGGGGTAGATACTCAGTCTAGACAGCCAGAGGCCCAAAGACCACACCTGTGTGCCGCCATTCACAGGTACACAAGCTGACCTTGGTCTTGTCAAAATGTCCCTTACACTTGGGCTTAGGCATCTCTTAATACCCCAAAACTGACTCCAAGGTTTTGGTTACATTTTGGAGAGCCAGGGGCAAAGGGTCTAGAATAGGCTCTGGCTTCGCTCTTCTGCTTTCAAGGCCTTTGTCAGGTTAGTTGACTGAGTGTCCGTGGGGAGACTTACTCAGTTAACCTGGCTGACTGCGATGTTTCTCTCCGTTCGCTGAGGCTATTTTGCTCAACATGATGTAGTACTTAAGAACGCGGGCTCTGGAGCCAGGCTGGTCGGCTTTGCATATTGACTCTACCTGGCTGTAATATGGCCATTCGTGAGTCAGTCAGCCTCTGTGGGCCTCAGAGTCCTTACCTGTAAAACAGGGATTGTGGGAGAGTTGCCTTACAGACTTGCCGCCAATGAGAAAAGGAACAAGAGTGTGTACAATTGGCGTGCCTGGCGTCTAATGCTTTCTCTCCCGGCGACTATTGGCTAATAGCTTCCAGAGCGTTCTGTGAGCCGGAGTGCGAACACGTTCCTTTTCTTAACTAGGGAGAGCGACGCCCTGTGAGAACAGTGTCCCCTGCACCCGCGATCTCAGCTGGAGGCACACGCTGATTAGTGGAGAGTGGGAGAGAGAGAACCCCTCTGGGCCGCAGCCGCTCTCGCTCCTCGGCACCCTGGCTGCCTGCAGCAGGCCGCACTGTCCCTACCTGGAGGTATGGTTTTGATGGGGTCCTTCTGGTGGCCTCCGTGGGGCAGGCTGAAGTTTGAGCTCTGAATCAGGACCCTGCCCCAGAGTCCTCTGGGAATTCCAAAGGCTTACAGGCAGGGGGTGGGTCTCTGACAGTGACCCCAGCTCTGCTCTTGTCCCTTGTTGTTTTGGCCTGCAGTTCTACTGAGTGAAGCTCTGCAGTGTTACAGTATCTCCAAAGACCCAAGAGTCCCCACAGGGGCCCCAAAGGACAGCGTCAAGCTGCTGATATCAGAACTAGAGCCTTCCCTTCCTGCTGTGTGGGGAGGCGTAGGAGTAGGATCTTCCCTGGAGCTCTTGGGTGTCTTCCTCCCTGATGGTGGAGGGGTGCCCAGGGGAGAAGGCCACAGACTGCAGGGTGAAGGGTGCCAGCCTTTCTCTTGCCATTCTCCAAGGTTCCCATCTATGGTAGCTCATTCACCAAGCATTGCGGAGCACCTTCCAAGCATTGTCTCATAGAGTCCTAAAGAAGGTGAGTCCGTTTCCTAACTCGGAAACGCTGTTAAGGTAAACTTGAAGTGAACATACAGAGCAATGGTTTCATTCTGGCATTTTCAGTTAGCAATACTCACTCCTCACACACAGCTTCATGACTGCGACCCGCCACTGCGCAGCCAGGCCCTGCAGTGTTCCATAAGCAGATGTCGTTATAGCCCACTGCCCCTCTTCTCTTTCCAAACTGTCTTCCGTCCTCCTGTCCTTCGCCTGCTTTCCATTGCCCTGTGTTTCCTCTCCTCAGGATGTCCTCCTGCTGTCCCGTGATCTCTCTTCTACTTTCATGATCTACATACAGCACACAAACACACAACAAATCCATGTAATAAAAATGTAGGCATTGTCAGTGGGATACTAACTCTTCCAGGAGACCCTTTATAAATAACTGCAAAGTGTTAGCGTAAGTGCTCTGCAGGTGGGAATGCATAGTGCTCTTCCAGAGGAGCTGAATTTGGTTCCTAGTACTCACTGGGGGAGCTTCTCAGCGACGCCTAACTCCAACTCCAGATCTGGCACCTCTGGCCTCCACAGACGCCGGCACCCATGCACAGACCCCCCCATAATTAAATACATTAAAAGTAGGATGTAAATAAGAACAAGCGCCCCCTCCTGCAGCTTCGCTTTATAATGTTTCAGTTAGCCTCAACCGAATACAGTCCAAAAGTGAAGTGGAGAGTCAATATTTGAGAGAGAAGCCACAGCCACGTAACTTTTGGTAGAACAAAATTGCTTGGTTTATTTATTAAGCATGTGGATAATATACCGTGCCTATGAATTAAACTCTGTGTGTGTGTGTGTGTGTGTGTGTGTGTGTGTGTGTGTGCATGAAATGACATCTATATGGTTTGGAGTTGTCTGCAGTTTCTAAAAGCCCCTGGCAGGGAGACAGCGCCACAGAAAAGGGCCGTTACTGTCCTCCGCATTCTCTGAAGAGCTTTTCAGGTAACCTATGTGATACCGACTGCTTTTTCCTCCGGCACTCACAGGGAAATAGATGTTTCCTTTCCTGTTGGGGATAGTTTATGCAGCTGCACCAGCTCTTCTCTTCAGCGGTCAGTTTCGGGGGGCTCTATCTGGACAGAGGGGAGGAGGAAGCTGCCACAAGGAGCAAGCCAGAGTTAACACAGCACTGACCGGAGCCGCCTCAACCTGCACGCCTCTCTCTCGACCTGCACCTGCCGGAACAGCAGCCTGACTGGGATGCGCTCTCCAAAAGCCTGGGACCTGGAGAAGAGCGACTCAGAGAAGCAAGCCCAGATGAGCAGTGACACGAGCAAAGCAAACCGGAGGGGCACAAGCTGGTGGGAGGGAGTCAGAGAAAGAGGCAGAAAGAAAAGTATCACAAGGAAACAGGAACAACCTGGGAGAGAAGCTGAAGAGAGCGAGACGAGAAGCAGATCTCTGAGATACCCCACCGAGCGTCTATTTATCTGATTTAAACAGTAAAGCCGTAAGCCAAGCAGAGCGCTGTGAATTCCTCTCTGCTCAGACTGCCCTGGGGCAGCCTCTCCCTCCTTCCTCTGCCTCCTGCCCAGCTCAGGCTTGCTCAGCCTCACCCTGGGCTGGAAGCTGAGGCACACGCCTCTGTTTGGGTTTTGGGATAGGGTCTCATATATCCCAGTGGATGCTGGGATATGAGGACCTGGGGACCAAACGCAGGGCCTCACGCATGCTGGGCAAGCACTCCACCAACTGGGTGATGTCAGCAGCCCCTCTTAGGAACAATTCTTACAGGAGACGGGAAGACTGTTCAGGTAGGCTGACTCTTCCTGTTGTTGCTCAAACGTACTAGTTGTCTTACTCAGTCCTCTGAACACGGGCACACATCCCTTTGGGTCGACAGCTCCTGAAGTACAGACATACCTGGTTGACGTACCTGGTGTGTGCACATTAAACCAGCCATTCTGTATCAAACGCAAGACCATCATTCCTCGCTGTCTTCTCTGTCGTTCTCTTCTCCTCTGTGCACGTGGCCATCTCTCCTTTTTGCTTCTGAATTCACGTGTCTATCTCACCTGCTCCTGCAGATGGGAATGTAAGCACCGAGACAGAATTTAACCCTTTTGCTTACTGCTGCATTCACAGTGCCCGGAGCAATGCCTGGCACACAGGAGACACTTCATTCATTTGTGGAGTGTTCAGTCAATCCACAGAGGAAGGGCGCCCAGACGGGAGCATCCAGAGTTCAGATCACCTGCCCACACGCCCACACAGAACCTAAGCACTGCTTTCAGACAGAATGGGCTAGTAGGCCTTGGGCATAGTTGGTGTGTCATTTCTTTTTTTCTTTTTCTTTTTTTTTTTTTTTTAAGATTTATTATGTATACAGTGTTCTTCATGCCAGAAGAGGGCACCTGATCTCATTACAGATGGCTGGGAGCCACCATGTGGGTGCTGGGAATTGAACTCAGGACCTCTGGAAGAGCAGCCAGTGCTCTTAACCTCTGAGCCATCTGTCTACCCCTGGTGGTGCCATTTCTTATGTGTGTCATTCCAAAGTCCTTTTCCTCTCCTGGCTGCTTTGGTTCTGGAGCTCTCATTGCCCTCATCTGCTTCTCTCAGAATGCGCTCTGCTCTTAGGGCTCCATCAGCCGCCTCCTGGGCAGGGACTCCTGCGCCTCTCCTACAGCCTAAGTCTATGAATTCTTTCCATCCATTTACTCATCACACTCATTTCCCCCATCTTTATGCATCAGAATAATTCTCTGAAGATTTTATTTTGCTCTACTGAATAGTGAACTTGGGGCCTGTGTGTGCTAGGCAAGCATTCTACCAGTGAGCTAACACAGCCACAGCCCAACATTTAATTTCTGAGTACCACCTTCACCTTTTTCATCACTGACTCTAAAACTTGTTTACATTTTTTTCTTTGTTTTTCAAGACAGGGTTTCTCTGTGTAGCCCTGGCTGTCCTGGACTCGCTTTGTAGACCAGGCTGGCCTCGAACTCACAGAGATCCACTTGCCTCTGCCTCCTGAGTGCTGAGATTACAGACGTGTGCAACTACACTTGGCCTATTTCAAATTTTAATGTTCTCCCCCCACCCCCACCCCCGTGTGTGTGTGTGTGTGTTGTGTGTGTGCACATATCATAAAACATAAGTAGAGGACAGAAGACAACTTACAGACCCTGTTTTTCTTCTTCCACTGTATGGAATCCCAGGTATTGAACTCTGGTCATCAGGCTTGGCAGCAAATATCTCTACTCACTGAACCATCTTGCCAGCACTCTCTATTTTTGTAAATTATATATATATGAAATTGCATATATAACATAGAATGACCTTAATTTCCCATCCTCCTACCTCTACACACGGTGTGTGCCATCACACCTGATTTTTGTAGTACTAGGGCTTGAACCCAGACTTCTGTGTATGCTAGACATGTGTTCTGATGTCTAAGCTGTATCTTCAGTCCTGTTCACACTTTTAAGAGCTCTCACACACAGGGTTCCATTTCCTTTTCCTTCCTAGGGAATCTAGCAATGTCTGTCCAGCTTTCACTGACATACTGCCAGGGCGCTAACCTGCTTTATGACTTTTTCCCTGAAGTCGATCCATTCACCCCAGATAGGGCAACAGCACACCAAAAAACTGGGTCCACCCAAGTCTACCTTGGTGAACCCTGAGTTATTTGAGGGGTTCCAACAGCATAGGCCACAACCATGGAGGAGCCCCACCCAGCAGCTTTAACGTTATACCTGGGCCTCGGGGAACATGGGCCCAACATGAGGGTCTTTCAGGAGTGACGGCTGCTCCGGGCTCCGGCATCACGTCGGCACACCGGGCAGTTCCTGACGGTGGGCTGGCGTCCTGCGAGCCACGGTGCACCAGCGCTCACACCGTGCCTCCCCTTCGGGCGGCGTTTTTAAGCTTCTGAACTACTGCCTGAGGTAGCCCGCTTGTAGACAGCCTTTAAGGGAAAACGTGTGTGCCTGAGAGAACCTCTTCAGATTCCATTCTGCCCTTCACCTGGACAGCCTCCCACGGCCAGTCAGACCCCTCAGGTCAAGGCTTTCCGCTCCCCACTCAAACCTGTCAGCCATGCTTTCCCTGAGTGTCTGCCACTCTTGAACAACTTGGCCTCAACATTTGCCTTCTGCCCTACCCACACCCGACTCCTTTCTATTTCAGACTTCCTTGGTGCAGCCCGAGTCTCACCCCGTGACGCCCTCTGTCAGTGATGGCCAATACCCTTTTGTCGCCCAGACTTCCCAGAAGGAAGCTGCCCCTTGAAACTGAACCTTCTACTGATTAACTCCTTAGAACTTCAAGCATAATTTCAAGTTCAGAGAGTAATTATTTGGGGCCATTTTTAGCACACATTTAATCCCAGTACTCAAGGAGGCAGAAGCAGGTAGATCACTGTGAGTTTGAGGCCAGCCTGGTCTACAAAGTGAGTCCAGGACAGCCAAGGATACTCAGAAAAACCCTGTCTCAAAAAAACCAAATAAGAAAAAGCCTTTCATTTAGTGGTGGTTTGCTGTTGGTCTCTGTACATGACCTAGCTGCTTCGCGACCATGAGGTAAAAAATGTGGGCTGCAGAAACAGCACCAGTTTCCTTTGGAATATATTAATTCAGCAGACCTCTAGCTTTCACAACACGGAAGCCGAGAGCATGAGAGGACGCCTGAGACCTCCGACAGAGGTTCCCCCTTTGTTCAGC